TGGTGAGGGGAAACACTACAGATATCTGCTCGAAGAATGTATATATTTGTCTGTGACATACCACTAGTATAGACAGACAAAACCAGTGCTGTATAACGCAGAGAACAAAATTGGATTTTCAAACTAGTGCTGCAAAAACAATGCATAATTGATGTTGCTTCTGTGATTTCAAGCACAACTGCTCTGCCTGGTTTTAAGATGTAAACATAGTGAAAACAGTCTTTTACAAATTAAGGTTCTAAAGGACTGAAGCAGTTGAACACCTGCCTGCAGAACCAGCACACCAACTATTTCCAGTGACAAGATGGACGTGCAAGTCAGAGTTGATATTTATGACCTCTCCAATGCCAATACTGTTCTTTGGCATGAGTAGTGTGCCACAGTCGCATTAAGTGAACTACTGATCATCAGTCTGCAAGTTGCATACTGCTGGTCAACAGTAAAACTTACCAACAGCCTTCAGAAGTTTTGCTAAAGTCATCAAGTGCCCAAATATGTTTCTGACATTTCTGTAGAGCACCATTAACAAGTTACCCTACGTGAGTTCACACGAAGCCCTCCTCTAGGGATCTATCAAAGTTAGACGATAGCAGGAAGCGAACAGCACTTGCTAGCCACAGGAACTTGACGCAGACAGGTCCACTGCTTGTCTATCGGCAACAACTAGAAGCATTTCCCATGCTTCATTCTTATGGTCAAGTTCTTGCAGAACTTGTTCAGCACCCAACTTTTCCACATGCTTAGTAATTGCACCAGTGGGCTCTGAACTACTTAGAGCAGTTGATAAGAAAGTTGGTGATAGGCCAGAACTTATTTCCACTGCCAGGAAAAAAAAAAAAAAAGCATAAAGTAATCTCAAAATCTGAGATGATATTTTGTAACTACTCTTGTTTAATGGACATCGAGAGTCTGGAAAGCCAAATCTATCCAGGCTAAATCATACATAAAGAATTCTGCTCTAATAATACCTTCTGAGTTTTCTCTCACTTTTGATCACAATAGGTTTGAACACCAGCACCTTCACATACAATCTGACACAAGAGTCGACACCTAATCTTGAACTGTCAAGAGTCACCTGTCCGAATAACAAAGATGGTAGCTGCAGAGTTTTGATTCAAAGCTTTCCTATTACACAGCAGTGTCCATAATTGTGCTGTTCTGTGGTCTAGCTTTTGCAGAAAACATTGCCTACATTACACTCTGTCATGTGCAATTTCAAGTGCACCAAGACTGCCAGAGATTCATTTCTGCACTTTGCAAGAATATCCACCCGTACATTCAGCAAGTGAAAAAGATTTTCCATACACTGTATAAAAGCGTACAAGAGCTATTACTTGCACAAAAAGATGGTTTTCTTCTGAAGAGCATTCAATAATTTCTTTCAGATATACTGAGAAAGGTACTGTAATAAAACAGTATCATGCACAGCTATGAGGCCACGCACACACACTGCTGCTGATAAGCACAGACCTTACCAGCATTATTATGGGTAACTATAACTTTTGCATATATACGCACACACGCTTTACATATGTAAACTTAGCCCATCCTACATTAACAACCAGGTTAAAAAAAAATACTCTTCTTCCTATCCTTTCACATGTATAGACCACCATGATAATAACACTATGCTTTTTATATGTTTCAAAGACACTTAGTCCTCATGAAATAAAAGGCCAACTACAGAGCTCTTGGCAAGTTAAGGGAAGAGAATTACTGTGGCAGGATAACGGAACATGTGGAATGATTACGGCAACAAGGATAAAGGTAGGCTTCAAAGAAATCCCTTCTCGCTGGTGATAAGTAAAGCCTGCAGGATACAGAACTTGAATGTAACTTTTGAAAATGTAAATCCAACAAAGTGAGACAACTTACACAGGCAGAAAAACACATAATAGTCATGCTGAAGCTACTAAACACCAGTAGTAAGTTTGTAGATATTGAGCAAGACACTGAATCTGTCTCATCACATCCTCCGTTACACCAACCTGAAGCTGTATTGAAATCACAGAATCACAGAATGTTAGAAATGGATTTTTAATAGAAAGAATATTCACATGTGGTTAAAAATATGTCATAGGTAGGTTATGATCTAAAGCTGGCTTACTGCTGCGCATCTTGTATTTCATCATGTACTTTTCTACTGATTTGATGACTGATTATACGACAGAGTTGTTTCCAGCTGCAAACTCAAGAACTGCAGTATGCTCACTTGCAGTTCTCCAAAACACTCAGCACTTACATCTCCGACATAAAATTGAACAGCTTTTCAGGCCTGGCAGGGGCAGGGCAGAGGCCAGGAACGAAAGTGGAGAACCAGCAGGGCAGAGACGTTTTTAGCTACGTTACGACAAAGCTTTCCGAGAAGCACCGAGGAGGTTACATGTGCAGGAGCTGGAAGAAGCACCCGCAGCAACTTGTCAGGCACCGTAGCTGCAGTGCTACCCCCAAGCCCTTAAGTGAACAGCAGCGCACGAGCAGTACTTGTTCCCACCTAAAAATAAAACGCGGGGAAAACATTTCGCAACCTGCCCAGAAGGGCGCTGCTCCTCCGGAGACAAACTTTCTACGCGCACGCCCGGCCTTCCGCCTTCTTCTCGGCTGGAACCGTCACGTCTTCTCGGAGGCCAAGCAGCGCTCCGTCTCCACGACACACCGGCGGAGG